AACTCACAACTAAAGTAACAATTTTTTTTACTCATTGATACCTGAGAAAATCATAAAATTCCTGCAAAATCACCTTTGAAGGTTCCTGAAAAATACTTTCAGCCAAGCCAACAACTTGAAACTTCCAGGATTTGTTGAATGAAGTTCCTCCATAATACAAAACAAGTTGGGAATTGATATGGAAGTCACAACTAAAGTTACGAATTTTTTTACTCATTGATACCTGAGAAAATCATAAAATTCCTGTAAAATCACCTTTAAAGGTTCCTGAAAAATACTTCCAGCCATTCCAGCTACTTGAAACTTTCAGGATTTGTTAACTGAAGTTTTTGCAAGATACAAAACAAATTGGAAGTCGATATGAAACTTACAACTAAAGTTACGAGTTTTTTTTATCCATTGATATCTAAAAGAATCATAAAATTCTTGTAAAATCATATTTGAAGTTTCCTGAAAAATACTTTCAGCCATCCCAGCAACTTGAAACTTCCAGGATTTGGTAAATGAAGTTTTTTCATGATACAAAACAAATTGGAAGTTGATATGAAACTCGCAACTAGTTACGAATTTTTTTACTCATTGATACCTGAGAAAATCCTAAAATTCTTGTAAAATCACATTTGAAGGTTCCTGAAAAATAATTTCAGCCATTCCAGCAACTTGAAACTTTCAGGATTTGTTAAATGAAGTTTCTTCATGATACAAAATAAGTTGGAAGTTGATATCAAACAACTAAAGTTACGATTTTTTTTCCTCATAAATACCTATGATAATCTTAAAATTTTTGTAGAATCGTCTTTGAAAGTTCCTGAAAAATACTTTGAGCCATCCCAGCAACTTGAAACTTTCAGGATTTGTTGAATGAAGTTTTTTCATGACATAAAACAAATTGGAAGTTAATATGAAATTCACAACTAAAGTTACAAATTAATACCTGAGAAAATCATAAAATTCCTGTAAAATCGCCTTTGAAGGTTCCTGAAAAATACTTCCAGTCATCCTAGCAACCTGAAACTTTCAGAATTTGTTAAATGAAGTTTCTTCATGATACAAAACAAACTGGAAGTTGATATGAAACTCACAACTAAAGTTGCGATTTTTTTTCCTCATGAATACTTAAAATAATCTTCAAATATTATTGGAACTCTCGAACCAGTTAAGCAAATATCCGAACTGTGACCTACCAAATGAGCGACATTTTGAAAAATCGAAATTCGATACAGACACCTTGATGCAGACTTTGGCGAAATCATGAAAACATTTCGATCCAGATAGACTTCAAGAAGCCACAGATTTTATCTAGAAAGAAGCAGACGTATTTGTGATGGATAATTAAACCGGACGGACCAGTCTAATTCGACACAAAATTGATACTGGATTGGCACACCTAATTAAACAATCATCTCGACGTATGCCATAGTAGCTAAACAAGAGGAAGTGGAAAATCAAATTGATAAAATGCTTCAAGAAGGAATCATTGAAGACTCAAATAGTCCATGGTCTGCGCTAGTAGTATTAGTTCAATTCAATTCAATTCAAAAAAGCTTTATTGTCGGTAAATTATAAAAATTCATTGACAAAGCAATCTTATAATATAATAACTAAATATAAACAATATGTCTGCTACATAGTTAATTTTAAAAGACCTAAATTAAACACACAAAACATTTTTATATGTCACGATTAAATATGTAAAGAGACGAAAATACTTAATACACAAAAGAAGAAACAAACAGTTATAAAGTACTTACATAAAAAAGTATATCTACTAATAAACTAGTTATTATCAATAGAACAACATCGGTAACTCCCTAGGTAATGACGATTTTAATATAAAAACAAATAAATCACTAAAAGATACATTAGGGCTTAGTAACTATTGCAATAAAATAGAAAAAATAAAAAGTTTAAAAAGTTAAAAAGGTTAAAAAGGTCAAAGCTGAAAGCAGTAGAGTAATATAATACTAAAAAAGTAAAAAAAATGTCTCAAAAAATAAACAAAACAGAATAAAATCAACAAATAAAACAACCAAAAACAATTAGGTTTTTGAAAAGTACCTACCCACAATTAAAAACACGCAGTAAACAGCCACACTTAATTTGGCCGTAATATTCTTGAAGGCTGTAAAATGTTTTTGTTATCAGGAAATTTTTCACACTAGTACGAAATGCTCTGTACTCTCTAATATTCCTTGTTTCCTGAGAAAGATTATTGAATATTTTTATACCTTCATATATAATTGAGTGCTTGGTCAGGCTTAGCTTTGGGATTGGCAATGGCAAATTGTAGTTTCTCAAGTTGTAAAGTTCTGGTCTAGAATATTCTCGAAATTTTTTGAATATTAAACTGGCCACTTCCAAGATGAAAATACAGGGAACAGTCAGTATCTGCTTCTGCTTGAAAAGAGGCCTACAGCTTTCCCGACGATTTACCCTACACAAATAACGCAAATCTCGTTTCTGACAGATAAACACTGATTCAACATCTGCCTGTGTCGAAAAACCCCAGAATGCTATGCCATATCTGATGTGAGACTCTATAAGTGCATGATACGCTATTTTGGCTGTGTGCTTTCCCAGTTCATGAAGAATGCTTTTCACTATATAACAGCCCTGTGAGAGTTTTTTATTAAGGGTATCAATATGAGTGTTAAATTTAAGTCTCGAATCTATGTGCATACCAAGAAATTTTACAACAGTTCTATCTTCTACCAGGTTCTGGTCAAGTGTGATTTCATTAAGAGTGCATTTGAATGATAGTATATTTGATTTTTTCCAAGTCTTTTTCAATAATCGTGTTAAGAATTGTCACGTCTTTGTGTTGTCAAAGTATGGTTGTATCGTCTGCAACAATTACAAAAGCTCCCAGAATTAACAGTGCTGCCAGGTCGTTAATGTAAATTAAAAAGAGAACCGGCCCAAGAACTGACCCTTGAGGAACCCCATGGGTTAAATTTAGCGTCTTTGAATTATCCTTACCATGAATTCTTATTAGCTGGAATCTATCCGAAAGGTATGCTCTAAACAAGCTCAACTCCGTTCCCCTGACTCCGTAGTGGCTCATTTTCCGCAGCAGTATTTCGTGATTAATACAGTCAAAAGCTTTTGAAAAGTCACAAAACACTGCCGCAGCTTTCTCACCATCATTGACAGCAAAAAAGAGTCTCTCCAGAAACGTAAATATGGCATCATTGCACCCATTTGATTCCTGAAATCCGAACTGATCCGGTGTCAGAACATTATGGGCTTTTAAGTAACTCACCAGTCTCACTTTCACTATCTTTTCTATAATTTTCGATAGCGTAGTCAGTAAAGATATTGGACGGTACGCAGACGGATCTTCGTTGTCTCCCCCTTTAAAAATAGGAATAACTACTGCCAGTTTAAGACTGTCCGGAAAGATTCCCGAGACAAACGATTCATTTATACAGTCATAGCAGTGAGTGCTTCATCAGGTAGATGCTTGAAGATTTTCAAAGTTATTTCATCTTCTCCTGAGGAGTTTTGTTTTTAAATGGTTTTTATAACCGTTTTAATTTCATCCCTGTTTGTCGGGTTAAGCCTGAATGTCTCAGTAGAAGGGTACTCTGATAAGTAACTTAGTGGATCCTTCTTTCGCTCAATGCCATCTGTCAGCTTGCTCACTATAGTGCAGTAAAACTGATTAAGATCTGTCGGATTTATTGTCAGATTGTTGCAATTCCGTTGTGTTTTTCCCCTCATTTCGCCTATTATTTTCCAATACTCCCTGCTAGAATTACCCGCTGCTTCTACCCTTTGATTGTAATAATATTTAGTTACGAAGAAAGATGGAAGTCTTAGATTTTGTGTGGACTACCGAAAGCTTAATGACGTCACCAAAAAGAACAGCTTCCCTCTCCCGAGAATAGACGATACATCTACCTTGAATCTCAAAAGTGGATACTGGCAAGTGGCAATATACAAAGAGAAAACTGTCTTCAGTACCGGAAGCGGGTTATGCCAGTTTAACGTAATGCCTTTCGGATTGTGTAATGCTCCAGCTACGCTTGAGCGACTGATGCATCTTGTTTTGCGAGGCCTTACATGAAGAACTTGCCTGGTATATTTTGATGATGTCATGATCATAGAAAATTTGTTTCAAGAATATCCCAATGACATGAAAGAAGTTTTTGACCGCTTCCGAAATGCCAACTTAAAACGCAATTCTAATAAATGTTTTCTATTTCAAAAGAAAGTGAAATTCTTAAGTCGATTAAATAGGTATTTACATTTTTTTTGCAATGCACATATTGGTGGACAAATTCGTCAATGATATCATCATAATTAACAGATTTTGTCGAGTATTGAGGATAACTAGATTGTTCAAACGGTTTCCGATTATACAGGAACGAAGATAGCATTCTTGTAAGTACGGAAAACGAACGTTCTGCACAAATTTTGGTTTTTTGTTTGTAACTTAACTGGTTCATATGGCCCTATGGTAAATACGCCACTGATAATGATCACAGTGACTTGAAACTTTCAAGATTTATGAATTGAAGTTTCCATTTTGTAGAAAAGTTGACTTAACGCTTGAAACTAAATTCGGACTCTTATTACATTAATGCATGCAAATTTAGTCCAAAGGCAATATTGATTCAGTTCCATCAAAGAAACAGGACAATGAATCAGAAAATGTGCTCTTCTAGTGCTAATGTTGAATTTATAACATCATCAAGATTCTAATTCTTAAAACATTTTCATATCCTGTTTTGCATTTATAACAAGACTGCGACATTTTCTGTTTTTCTCGTAAGCTCTTTTTCCGATTTGAATTTCAAATCACTTAAATTATTTCATTCGGAAAGAAATTGGAAAAGTTACCGTTGTAGCAATTGTAGGAGTTACATTTTAATAAAACTCTTCTTTTTTCAACTATTTTTTTACAAAAAGGCCTATCATACCTTAATAAATTTAGGTAATTATCTAACCCAAAACAATAAATTATTAATTGTTTTGGGTCAAAATCAATCAGTTCGATGTCTGCAATGGCCCAAGACAAATACCTTTTCACTTTCGTCAAAGTTATGTTAATAATAAGTGGACTTTGGCCGCTAGAAATTCCAAAAGTCTCAAGATTCTGGCAGGCTGTTTTCAAGATTTACTATGCTTTGGCTCACGTCATTTATTTGACGTCACCTTTTGCCTTTGGCGGCGCTTTGCTGGTCGATTATGGAGTTAGAAATGCACAAGGTATGATTTTGTTTTTAGGAAGAAAAACATCTACAATGTCAAATACTTATGGTGATTGGCGCAGTCTGTAGGATATAGTGAGGATTTTAAATTCAAATTCTTTTGCAGCCGCAGAAGACTTTTCAAGAATGATCTTCGTAATACTAATAGTCTTCAAACTAAAAATAATTCGTTCGAAAAAAATGAAAAACATAATCAACTTAGTTACTTCCGAGGAAATAATCATTATGAAAAATAAAAATAAAGTCATTACAACTACTTACCAATCTCACGTGACTTATTGCAAGCGAATGGTATTTTTTGTAGCGGTTTTTTTGTGGGCTGCAGGTCTTACCAACATGCTAAATGGTAAGCAAACAATTTACGTTTTGCCTACATTAATAAATATTCAAGGTTTCTACGAGCTAAACAAATGGATTGATGCAAACAAACCCAGGCCTCACATAATACCATTTTGGTTCCCATTCGACACAGAAAAACACTTCGTTTTGGCTATGGCTTACCAAATATGGCACATCTATCAAACTCTAGCTATAAATACTGCAATTTTGGCCCTTATAAACTCTGTTATAGTGTTTTTAAGGGCCAATTTGAAAATTTTGCAATACCACATAAGGAATTTTTATTCGGAGAAAAATTTGAAACAGTTAATCATACGACACCAACAATTAATTGAGTAAGAAGTTTTAATAAATTTCAATTTCTACATAATTGTTTCTAGATGGGTGCACGACTTAGATGATTCGTTCAAAAGTATATTATTGTTGGAATATTGTGTCACATCAATACAACTGGCTACAACTCTAATACAAATAATTCAATTGGTACATTTGCCTTTTAACGTCACATTTTTCATCCATTGCTTGTTGCAATTATTTGTAATTGCTTGGAATGCAAATGAAATAATGCTCGAGGTATATTTAAATTGAAATGTGTATCATATGTATGTAGCATATATTATATTTCCAGAGCTCTTTTGGTCTACTGCAAGCCTTATATGATACTAATTGGTATAGTCAAGGCAAGGAAATCAGTCATTTGATTTATTTGATGATGATTCGTTGCAAGAGGCCTTTAGTGATGCGAATAGGACCTCTCGGTGCTATGGATTTGGATGTTGCAGTCTCAGTAAATTATAATTATTGAAAAATGTATTGTTACTTGATTATTTTTTTTTAGAGAGTTAAACTGGCTTATACATGTTTGTCAGTACTAAAAGTTACAACTGAAGAATAACTTAAAATTTAGTAACTAGTAATATAAATCAGCTTATATGTGTGTGCCTAATTATTTCGATTACGTCTTGTATATGTCCCATAATTGCTGTGTAATCGCTTTACAAGGGATTACGATCCTGGTAATTAGGATGTTCTATGAACCAAAATTAGCTTGTGTTGTGTGAATAACTTGGATATAAGGCAAGAACAATCTTCAAAATTGAAATAAAATTCTGGATACCTAATCTTATGTGCATAATTCAAATCTGAACCGTTATTAGGTCTTGATTTCCTTCTAATGATTCAAAAGCCAGTAATGATCAAAATTTGGATTATTCCTGGCTCTTCATTTCGTCTGGAAAAGTTTTCTGATAATAATCAAAATTTTAAATGTTTCAGCCGGTGATAATTTAAATCTGAATCCTTTTTGGTTCTTGATTTCCTTTAGAGAAATTTTCTAATTTTCAACTACAACTAAAAATTTAAACTTTGTATACAAAAACACAATCACCCGCGAAAAATTACTATGCAAAGATTGTCGAATAATTTCCGCGAGCAAAATTACTTTTAGTTAATTTCTAAAATGTCTTCGTAAAGTTCAGGTCATCATCTTAAATGCAAATAATTAACAGGAGCTTATTGCAAACTCAAACTTACAAGGTAACTTTAAGTTTTATGTTCTCAGGAAGTTTCCTGTTTGAAATGCATAAAAGGGCCGAATATTTCGATCAATAAACGTCAAAGGAATAAATATTTGAAAAAAAAAACTTTTTTAATTTTCTAGTAACGCAGTGAATTAAGAAAGTTTTAAGTAAAATGCTCAAAAGTTGGGCGTGAATTATAACCTCTATAATATTTATTGTAATTGTAGATGTTTCAGCAACTTTTTTCTCTTTTTGGCAAAGTGTCCCGAAAGACCGGAGTTGGAAAATTAAAACGCTGGGCAAAATACGAAACGTGTTGCTTTGAAAAATAAAAAAGTTTCGGAGTTCAAAAAAGTGGTGAATTATGAATAATAGAGTCGAGTATTGCGCTCTCTCGCGTTGAGTAATATAATTTATTCTGATTAAGGAGAGCTTTACGGGGCGTTGACTAATTAATATTCAAATAGGAAGCTGCGGTTTTAAAGTATTAATTTTTTACTGTTTTGATTTGAATCTAGAACCAAAGGAATAATCACAGAATTATGTCAAACATGATTGATTCAAATCAATGAAGCTGATCATTATTTACAAAAATCAGGTCAAATAAACACACACACAGCGATTCCGGATGAAACTTTTCAAATTAAAATATCGTCTAAAACTTTTAGCGTCGAGGAAATACAGAAAATCCACAGGTAGACAAACTGCCGCCCTTTAAACTTTTGCCCTGGGGCGAATTCATGGGTTAAAGGACAAAAAAAAAAAACACATAAACAAAAACAAATTCGGTATATTTTGACTAATTTTTTTAACATCTAATACTGCACATCGTTTTTGGGAATTGCTTCAACTTGGAACACTTTAGTGTTTGAGGATTTTGACCACACTCAATACTTTTGAGAGTTTTTTTGGCAAGAGATTTGAGAGTGGTTTCATTTATATATTACATAGTTATTTTTATGGATAACGACCGTTGATAAATGTATGGTTTTTGGAATAATTATTGGGAAACGGTCGATTGTTTTATTTGTTTATTTAACTCTTTAACAAATACCGAGCTTTCGGAGGAATTTTTCTCCTTTGTCAGAGCTATAATAAAAATTATAATATAAAACGTAGGTATGTATAGGGTGATTCAGTCTATAATGAACACCCCACCTTTACGCTAAAAAACTGATTTTTCGGAAAATCAAAATACCCATTTGGTGAATTTTGTTTCTGGGAATTTGAAAACGTTTTTCGAAGTTTAATTAATTTTTTTATAAAAGCGCTGTGACGAATAAAGTAATTTTTTTAAATGGAATAACTTATGTTTAAATCTATTTTTCAAACACCTATTTTTCTCATTTCAAATATACAGGGTGTATCATTTAAAATAAAACAGTCTAAATATCTAATGATTTTGGTTTTCCAGGATTTCATGATTTGTGCAAGAAACTCTCTGAGATTCTTGTTGATTTTGTAGATTTCAAGAACTTTCATCAGCCAGCTATGGCGTAGGGAGTCAAAGGCCTTTTTTATAATCTATGTACCCGATGTGGAGGTTTCTATTATCTAGTTTGTCCCATGATGACACTATAATCAGCTGCTCCTTACAGCCCTGGCTGTTTTTCCTATATCCCTTCTGTTCTTCTGTTAGTATGTTGTTAATTGTGAAGTTATTCGATTTTCTTGCAGACTGTAGCTGCGATGATCTTATACAGCGTTGGAAGACAAGTGATTTAGTGTCCATAACGTCCATTTGTTTCAGGCCTTTAATTACGTTACGTTTTAATCGTTACCTTTAGATGTCACCTTTTATTCGTCACGCTTTACTCCCTGACTTTCAGTAAAGAGTTATACGTTCAGCTTACTGTATATTTCAAGTAGCACCTACCTACAATCTTCAGCCTCCTCTAGACCATTGGAAGCCTTAGTGACTCCTAGTTACTGAACTTCAGTGCCCAGGGCCAGGTTGCTTCTTGTTGCGGCCCTGATCCAGTCCCAGGCCATTGGAAACACTGGAAGATATTGACCCCATCCGTAAAGGTTCCCCCAAGAGTTCAGGGACTACTCAGGTTTGATAAGTGTGTTGTGTTGTCGTAATAACAAACCTTACCAACTCCTTGTTGGAGTGAATCACCGCAACAACGCGGTCCTGCAACAGTATTGAATTATCCTTCAGATTATGTGTTGTCATTTAAATTTCTAATTAATTCTCTTTATTACCTTTTTTTTTTGTTTATGAAACTTACCCTTCAGGTTAGGTATTGTTAAGTACTTCAATTTTCTTCTTGTTTATATTTCAGGTTGTGCTGCTATAGTTCCGTAGAAGTTCCCTGCTTTCGTTATATCGGTTGATTTCGTGTACTGCAGGGAAAAAGTAGGTGGCACTCTATATTTACTTAATTAATTAACCCACACCACTCTCCGTATTGGAAGCTAGTCGGCAACCCTATACACGAAATCACTTTTCTAGATTTCAGCCACCAACCAACCCTTTCTTTCTATTCTTTCTATTATAGTTACCCATTCTCTGTCCCACTTCCTTCAAGTTTCATTAGTTACTTCTCCCTCCCGTTTTGTGCCACATAACAAATTGTTTTCGAAAACAACGTTACTTTCATGCTCCCGCTGCAAAACACATGTCACCAGTGACAAAACAATACCATCATCAAAGGCTTTCTGGAATAATCTGGATCCAGGTTCTATAACAGACGTGATTCAAGCGCTGACGCAGGCAGAACAACGTTTACTGTGCAGAATCATCCCAAGTTGTAAAATTTACTGGCCTATATGGGCAGTACGGTTTTCGCGAACAAGCTGCTATGTTTGCCCTAAGTTTCTATGAGGTCAGTGAAAGACTACCTAATATGCTAACGAGATCTTCAAGCTAAGTAGGTATCGTTGTAGTAACAGAACGATTAGAAAATTTAAACATCACAAGAGAATTCACAATATCTCGCGAAAAAGTCTATAGTGCTTTGAGATGGTTAATCAGAAATAACTTGTTTTATAGAAATGTGTAAATGTCCAAATTAGTGAACAAAATTTGATACGACTTATCTGAAGACGGAGATCCTGAAAAAATTGAAATTCCAAATTCTTTCATTCTAATTATTGACCTTGCTAGAATCATTCGAGCTTCATGGCATCAGTGATCACAACATTTTCGCTTCGGAATATGCCGGTATACAGTGTAATGCCATGTCGTTAGCAAATATTGTGCAGGCCGCAATTCTCAACCCTTATCAATGGGACGTCAATATTCTGAACGCTAACATGTTAGAGGGTGACTCCTTATATTGCCAAATACGTGCTCTACTGCCATTAGATGAACAGGATGAAACAGGATATTTAGAGATGCGAAATTTTCATGTCGTCAAAGAACTTACAAATTTATCACAACCGATTGTCTATAGAATATGAATGATGACACTATTCTTTTTGGAAGACTTCAAGACGCTGTCAATACCAACAATATTGGCATTACATTACTCACAGCTTCAACTCAATTATTTGATGGTCATCTTTCGGAAATATTGACAGTTTCGAAAAAATCTCTCGGCGTATTTAGCTGTGAAGATAAATACTATTTCGCTGACTCCCATTCATGTGGCCCTAAAGGCCAACCAACGACAGAAAATGGCAGAGCCTGCGTTATAGAATGCGACAACTTGCAAGAACTTTGCCGTATCTGTAAACGATGCCCTGAGTCGCGTAATATCTAATATCACCTACATTCTAACAGGCGTAGACGTAAATTTCAGGGAAGATCAGGCGGTACAAGTACAACAACAGGTCTCGAACCCGATATCTGCAACTGTCCCTATGCAAACATCTGTAATGTTGCCTATTGATAGCGTCCAACCCGATGTCGAAGATGAGCTTGAGGTGTCTGAAAGGTACATGAGATAAAGGCAGAAGAACTCGCGTGGTATCAATAATTTCCATATGGCAAAAATAGCTTGAAAGAAGAAAGATCAGTAAATATAAGTCCTTTGGATTACTATCAATTCCGTATTCTTGGTTTTGATACTAGGTTTTAGCGTAGCGATTACCTGTTTTACACTCTCACTGTTTGGGTACTATCGGATAAAGACAATCATTGCAATACATGTGCTAGAAGAGTGAGGATCTTCACTTGTATTTAAAAAAATCTTAGAGGTTCCGGTGCTTATTGACGTAGTGCTCTCAGTGACACATTATTGATCCGTCATCTAACGAATTTATCTATCTATCAATGCATTTGCATTCTAAAGAGAACAAGCGAAGATTGTTGAATAAATAATTCCAGTCTTGCTTTGCTTAAAATGTGGAAAGCTAATATGGATATACAACCATGTGGTACTAACGAGTCAATTGCTTAAGTATTACATTGCCAAATACGTATCAAAATCAGAACCTACGAATCTGGATGGTGAAGTATCTCAACAAATTAGGAAAGAAGAAACAGACGTTACGCGCAAGCTTTAAAAAAAAAAGACAAGTTCCAGCTTCCAAATGCATATTCAGACTTTGCTATTTAAATATGCGTGAATGTGACAGCTCGAGAAAAACAGTCTTTCTCAATACTCGTAAACCGGAGCAACGATATGAAGTGTTGAAGTTTACTGAAGCTGGTCAAGCAGGTAGTTATTGCGCCAATGAACGATATGAAAAGCGACCAATGGAGCACCCCGACTATAATTTCAACAACATGTTGTTTATGGAGCTTGCGATGTTGTTTGAGCCACACTATGCGAAACCACCAACAATTGATGAAGAAAGCATAGATACAGATGCGTATGCCTCTTGATACACTAACATGACTTTTAGAAACACCAGCTGTAATACGGGTTCTTAACTTCATAGCAGCTTCTGATTCCGAGTCTTATTATTATAGTTTACTACTCTAATATATGCTCTATCGCAATAGGAAAATATAATAGTGCCAGAGACATATTTCTCGCGAATGAAGAAAGTTTAAGAGAAACAAATTCTTATTTGGGTCTCTATCGCGAGCGTGATAGGCAACTTGAAAACGCGTCCAATCAAGTACACGCATTTCAGATATTGGAACAAGAAGAGCCTATGAAATTAAGAAGAAGTTTCATGAATGAATCATAACCAGTCCATACTGGCTAAGCAGTCTATGAATGCTGCACAAAAGGAAATTTTTACAATGGTAACTCAGTCCATACAAATTCAAATGTCGGGTGTCAAAAAACGCTTAAAAATATTCTTTACAGGTGGAGCTGGTGTCGGCAAGACATTAAAAGTATGCGCACTAACGGGAGTTGCAGCATGAATAATAAATAGAACTACCATCATAATACCTTAAAGGTGCCAGTACAGAAGGATGGTCGAATAACAGGTATGTCATCCCTGTTCTGAAACTATTTGCGTATCATAAGGAAAAAATGAAAGCAGGCTGAGTTTCTGATTATCGATTAAATTTCTATGGTATCATATTAAAAGCTGTGGATGATTGACGCCCGATTAAGACAAATTAAGAACTGTGAAGACGAGTTCTTTGGAGGACGTTCTATTTATTTGTGATCTTTTGCAACTGCGTCCTATCGTTTAAAAGCTACCTAGAGCACGTGGGCCCTTAACCACATTAATCCTTAGGGTGGCGCCCGAGTTTTCCGAAATCAACCGCTTTCTTACCGGAAAACCAAAGAAGCGCTACAATGCATGATTTCTTCCCCGTGTGAGGTGGTGTTTTGGGCCCCCCATCATTTCGGGACCTGGGGCTTTAGCCCCCAAAGCCCCCCACCCTTAATCCGACCCTCTGTCTTTGACCCTGGTGTTGATAGAGCGTTTGGTTGTTCCTACATAGACAGATCCACAAGAGCAGAGAATTCTATAGACGCCAGCCGTTTCAAGAGGTGCCCTAGGATCCTTGGCCGATCTTAGACTGAATTGTTCTTGTGGGCTTGTAGATAGGCTTAACGTTGTGTCTTTCTAGCAGGGCCGGATCTACGGGGGGGCGAACAGGGGCGCGTGCCCCCCTTTGCATCTTAAGGGGGCGGCAAAAAGAGAAGACACTGCTTTACTTTTTTTCATAGAACATACATATCTAGCATCTGTATTCAAACAGCCTGAATATCTCCAACCAGTTGGTAGTTCTGAAATAAAGAACTACGTGAAAAACTGGAGGGTCTCGGCTGAACCCTCCCTGTCTGATAACAGGATCATTGAGTTAAGCCTAGAAATAAGCACCTCCAAAGCAAAACTCATGAGAAATCCTAGGAGAACAAACTGGGAATTATACAGAGTCAATCTGGAGGAATCTCAAAGCAATCAACCCAGGAAGAATAGGAAATCACCTAGAACTGGAAGAGAAAGTAGGGCCCGTGAACCAGGCAGTAATAGAGGCCTTTGACTCTAGCTGCCACGTGGTTTCGAAAGAACGCTCGAGTGTGGCCCCATAGTGGAATGCAAAGCTGGCACGCCTCCGGACCCAGGCTCGGTGTTTATTCAACACAGTCAGGAGAACCGGAGAGTGGCGGCGGTAGAGAGAGGCCCTCACAGAATACAACAAAGAAATCAGAAAGGCAAAAAGAAACAACTTTAGGACTTTCTGTGAAAACATCACCTCGACTGCAGTAGCCGCTAGACTACACAAGGCAAAGTCCAAAGAGGGAGCGTGTTTGACAATGGCTCTTAAGAAGCCAGCCTTCTTTTTAGCAAACACTTCCCAGGCAGCAAACGTACAAACAGAAGTGAGGAAAGTTCATAACCCCAGACGCCTCACAAGGGAGAACTGGGAAATAGCAAAAGTAGTACTCACCAATAAGCGGCTCGAATGGGCATTGAACACATTCGAACCTCTGGAATCGCCAGGAGTGAACGAGAGCTTTCCAGCACTCCTACAAAGAGGAAAAACAGAGACCATGCCGCACCTTGTAGATATAACCAGAAGCAGCATGGCAATGGGATATATACCTCAAATATGGAGAAGGGCAAGAGTCACTTTCATTCCGAAGGTAGGCAAGAAAGATGGGATAGACCCCAGATCCTTCAGACCAATAAGCCTCACATCGTTTCTTTTAAAGACAATGGAAAAGGCTATATCAGATTCACTACATTGGAAAGGCGGCCGCTGATCCACTGAGACAGCTCTGTTCCAACTGACAAGTACGATACAAGAATCTTTGGAAGGGAAAGAAGTCGCACTGTGCGCTTTCCTAGACATGGCTGGCGCCTTCGACAACACATCCCATTCGGAGAGCTCTAGCGAGAAGGGAAGTCAACGACACAATATCTCGATGGATGTGTAGGATGCTTGCCACAAGAGACTTCAGTGGGCACCAAGTCTATTGAAGTGAGCATCACTAGAGGCAGTCACCAGGGCGGAGTATGCTCACCCCTGATGTGGAGCTTGGTGGTGGACGAACTGCTAGAAATACTGAACAATCTGGGCCTGGACTGGCTTGGGTATGGCAAGAGGAAAGTTCGAGGGCATCCTGTATGAACTCATACAGACCGGACTGAGAATTGGTGTAAAACAGTAGGACTGTAGATAAACCCATCGAAAACCACTGTAGTGCCTTTCACTAGGAAGAGAGAACTTTCTAGAATGAAGGACATCCGGATACACAGAACTATCATTATACCGGCATCGGTAGTCAGATATCTCGGCGTAACGCTGGACTGCAAACTCAGATGGAATAAACACATCGAGGGAGCTGTAACCAAGGCTACGAGAGCTCTCATGGTGTGCCTCGCGGGCAAATCCTGGGGATGCAAACCAGGGATCTTGGGATGGATGTACACCATGAAAGTAAGACCTCTCTACTATACGGGTCGGTAGTCTGGTTCAATGCAGTTGAGAAGCAGAACATAAAAGCAGCTCTCAATAAACTACAGCGCCTGGCTTGCACATGCATTACAGGCGCAATGAGAACTTGTTCCACAGCAGCCATCGAGAAAATTATAGGTCTCGCACCTCTTCAAATTGTGGCGGAGGGGGCTGCCAGACGAATCACGAAGCTGCCGAGGGAGGTTGGCTAGGATGGAGAGAACTAGCATCTCTGACCAAGCTTATTCTGGTCCTCGAGCTCCCCAGGGACGATATGACTTTTAGTCATATCGTTTAAGTTTAAAAGTTATAGAGCCTCAAATTTGAAATTTAGTCGATATTTTGTCCAAAACTTCAAACTCGATTTTCTCAAAAACTGTAAATGCTAGCTCTAATCAAGAACTACAATCTCTCAAAAATTTGTTTCCGTACCGCAGTAAGAACTTTTAGATTCTCTAATGATATTTTCTGAGAAGTTCTAATTTTATCAGAAATTTTCTCAATTGCCCTCAACTATTGACTCAAAATTCACTTCAGATTTGAGATGAGGCACCTCTTTGACAATTCAAGCTCAAAATGTTTTCCTCAAAAACCACTGAATGCTCAATTCCTAAAACAAAATACACCAAATGTCTATCTTGATTTTATCAAAAATCAGTTTTTTAGCGGAAAGGTAGGGGGTGTTCACTTTATACTTGATCACCCTGTACCTACCTTTAATACTACAATTTTCATTATAGCCTTGACAAAAGAGAAACTCCTGAAGCTCAGTATTTGTTAAAGAGTTAAACAAACAAATAAAATTGCCCGTTTCTCAATCAAAAACCATAAATTACATAGATACAAATATAGGGGTCTATTTCTTGGCAATGACTCTGCCAAGGCTGTTCTTTCAATATACCCAATCACCCACTATTTATTATTCGATTATCGAGCTATATATTACCCCCCTATAAAATTGTACAATGATCATTTTGTTCGTACAACACATCGAATAGGACAAAAGCGTCAATTATGGTTTGTTTTTCTTTTCTTTTCGTCAAACACTAACAATAGGTCTCTTTATATATATATATATACACACGCAAACAGTATTATATACAAAAACAGGTAATTTGTCTTGGTCAAAATTTAAGTAGGTATTTGTTAATGAATTCAATACTCAATGTGTCCTAGAAGACTTATAATTAGAGAGTTGAAGTTGCACTAGGGGTTTGTTGCAATATCAACTCCCTATCAATACCAACAAAATATATATCACAATTTTTTAAGTCCTTCAGTTTGGTTCCTACAAACGGCAAAAGTCTAAGTAATCCGCAGCAACTTTAAAAAGTACAACATCAAATTTAAATAACTACAAAAACTCGTAAGTCTTTCAGCGCTGTTATTAGTGTCTTTTGAAGCTTCCAAATTCCCTCTAGTAACCTCCTCTTGACATCTGCCTATTGAATCTATATCGATATTGTTCATTGGCATTCCGTTGACCTCCAAAGGCGAAATACAATAGTTTTTCGATATGAAATTAATCATGCTACCGTTGGCCAAGGGCCCATCTAAAAGCGAATGAATGTGACAATCACATGGAAAATGGTTTTGTATCACAGTCAGCTTTTCAACTTCGATTAACAAAGTTTCACTGCGTGGGATTTCCAAAATGTGATTGCCTTGGAACCTCAAATGAACCACGTGTTGTTCCCAGGTGAAATTCAGCCACTGAATTGAGTCGATTTTGTTGTTTAAGATATTGAGGCTTTTAACAAAGGCCATTTCATCAAAGGCATCGCCTTCAATATTGCCTAAGTCACTTTCCTGAATTGATAAATAATTGACATTTGTCAGGCCTCTGAAAATGCCTCGTTTCAAGCCTCTAAGATCCATAAAAGCTAATTGTAGATGGCCTAAATAGTCTAGCCCGTTGAAACAATCCGGCTCAATTGTCCTTATTCCTGAAGGCAGTACTATTTTGTCGATTTCAGTCATTCCAGTGAAGGCGTTCGTTTCCAGCTTGGAAATGGGATTGTGGGCGAGTACTAGTTGTTTTAGACTTACTGTACCGGCGAAAGCGTAGCTTTCGACTTTTTTGATTTTGTTGTAGCTCAGGTAGATGGTGGAGATGTTTTGGAGGCCGGCGAATGCGAAGGGGGAGACTGTTTCTAGGGGGGTGTGCTGGATTGAGAGGTCTCGAAGCTTTGGGAGACCTCTGAAACAAAAAACAAAAAAATTATAGTAATTATCAGTATCTAGCATATAATTGAGGAAACTAAAGGTCCATCATACTGAATAAATTCTCATGGAACTTGATAAAATTATAGATAAAATATATATGAATAATTCTTGTAGCTTTGCCTATAATTTTAACCGAGCTTTACCCAAAGTAAATTAAAATTATAATTGTTTTCATTACCGAAGCTTTCCGCACCAACTGACTTTAAGGTTTCCTAGTAAAGTTATAATTTTCTTTTGATTGCGAAGCTATGGGGGACGTATTTTTGAACATCAACGTCTTTGTTTAAATTATAGAGCAATTTTTCGAAAATCATCAAAGTGAGCCTGGCTTATGGCTTTTGGTGGGAAAGTCGTCTGGATAAACTCTGAGTAGCGCTGCAACCGGAGGCTTATTGTGCTGAATCTTCCTGTTTACTGCACCTATTCCAAAACCCCGGTTCCCTGCAGTAGGCGAAGTAGGTCTTTTGAATGTTTGCCGTAGTATGTCTCCAAATCTAGTTGATCTCCAAATATATTTTGTATTCTGCGAGTTAGTGCATCGCATTCTGATATAATATGTTGGGCTTCTTTACTGGGACATACCCAGTAAGAAAGCCGGTTGCTACTGTGAGTTGATTTCTACTTAGTTGTAGCACTTTTTTTGCTCTTTTGCTGTATGTCTCACGTATGAAGATTTTCCCATGTGCATAATTGGGTATTTGCTTCCAGTATTGAGCATGTTTTGCTTTGATCCATTCCTTAGCTCCTTTTTACTGTGCTTTTGAGCAATCCGAGAGCTGGTTCGGGACCAAGGTATTCTATGGATGACCCCCTGCGTGCAAGTTCGTCAGCCTTTTCGTCGTCCTGGATACTTCTATGTCCTGGCACCCACATCAATATGACGTTATTTTGGTCCGCCAAGCTGTTCAGTTTTTTTCGGCATTCTATTACCAGTGCAGAGTTTGCCTTAGGGTTCTTCAATGCCTCCAGTGCTGCCTGACTGTGTGTAGAGTAAAGTGAGTCTCCTGTCTTTGCAGGCCCTCATATTGGTGAATCTTGCGAATTGTAGTATTGTATATACCTCTGCCTGGAAAACAGATGTATGTGACCCTAGAGAGAAGAAGGTCTCGCATCTTCCTTCTTGACTGTAGATCCCTGCGCCTGTGCCATTCTTAGTCTTTGGCCCATCCGAGTACCGGACACGCTTTTCACCGCTCGCATGATCACGCAGTACGCACATAATTTTTCACTCATTTAATTATCTCCCTCTCACGCATCCCCGTTCATTCTTTTACAGGGTTAATTAAGGGTTTTTCCTGTGAATATTTTCCGGTAATACAGAGTGTTATATTTATTCAAATTTATCGACTGTTGTCTATTTTTTTTCCCCAAACCAAGGTTTTCAGAAAATTTTACAGAGCAAGCGTCTGTGACCCCTGATTTACCGTTTCTCCACTGTAACAAGCTAGCTGGTGCACGTGGGCCCTCAACTTTAATCTTGAAGGTGGCGCCCGAGGCAAACTGTTAGATAAACCGATTTACACTAAACCCGTGTTGATTACACAACAAAAGCGCCTTGCAAAATTGGCGCCCGAGCAGGGACCGTAAATAGTTTCGCTTGTCGTAAAAGTTCAACCGTACTAGGACCGCTCACCATACCATGCCAGAAGGCACCGGCAACAATGGAAATTCACCGGTTACCAGCATAGCGAATACCAGTATATCCATCGTAGTTACAACCAGTTCAGTAAATCCGCCCGGGAATGTACGGGAATGTCACTTGGGGATTGCAAAGACTACCGCTCGCGTAGCAAGAAGATACTATTGGCCTGGAATGTTTAGGGATATCGCTCGTTATGTCCGAAACTGCTCATCGTGTCAGCGTTTTAAGACCTCACAACAAGTCACAGCCGGCAAGATGCAACTTTCAAGGAACGATCACCCCTGGGAAACCGTCAGTACCGACTTAGTTGGTCCGTTGCCGCGTTCTTCTAAAGGAAATTGCTACATCGTTGTTTTCCAGGACCGATTTACGAAATGGACACAATGCCGGGCTATTGGAACAGCTACTGCAAAACCGGTAAGCATGGCGTTCTACGAAGATATAGTAACCAAGTTTGGCTGCCCACAGACCGTAATTTCCGATAATGGGGCTCAATTTACCGGACAGACTTTCAGAGAACTGTTGAGAGATATGGGTATAAATCATCGGTTAACACCACCTTATACACCATAGGCCAATCCAGTAGAACGCGCCAACAAAACTATAAACACCATGGTTGCACAATTCTGTGAATCCGATCATAGGAAGTGGGATGTGCCCGCATTCCTGAATTTTGGACGGGAATTGGATCCACCGAAGCTTTTTTATCGATATGTTCCATCCCACCCGGCTGACGCAGTTGCTAATGCGCTAGACCCCGACGAACTGCTTGATTATACCGATAGGCTCCAGAAACTCAAAGAAGTCTATGAGTTGGTTCGTCTTAACCTGAGTCACGCATTTACTACTCAGAGTCGCTATTATAATTTGCGTCGCCGGGAATGGACATGCCACGTCGGTGATACGTCGTGTACATGAGGCGTTGCCAAGTGGATGTTCTGTTGTACTGAAAGCTGTTTTGGCCTAACGTCAGGATAAACTTCAACTTGCCAGTAGCTGCTTGCTAATGCGTGCAATTTCCCAAGTGATCTAGGGTTTCTTGAAAGTTCGGAAACGGACAATAATCTCTCTAGTAGTAGTCAATGCATACCCGAATTGCTGATTCTCCTCCTTTGGACTTTTTAGTGACCCTAACTACTGGGGCGGACAAAGGAATTTGCGATTGTTGTATTATTTTGTTATTCACCATATCATCTATTTGTTCTTGAGCACTTCCCTCTGATGAAAGGGTACTCTATAAGGTTTCTAGGTTATCAGTGGTACCTCTTCGGTAATTATGCGATACTTCACATGCGGGGTTGAATTCAAGAGATTTTTCGTGCTGTGAAAAATATCTACGTACTCCGTGATTAATTCTTCTAGTTCCTGTTTATCCTGAGAGCAGATTCGGTTTCGGTTTTGGATTCAAAAAGTTGACTTCTTTTTCTGGGACGATATCGGTTCCCTTGATATCGATTTCTCGTCGGGCAGGGGATACATATCTAACGTGTCTAATCTCTTGAGTTTTTTGACTACACTTGTGACCGTTCCAGTGATTCCCCCGCTCTAATTGCCCTGTCGTAGGGCCGTAGGTAAGGTCAATTCAACTTTTGAGACGTTGACTAAGCGGATCAGCATCCAATTTCTTGTGTAAACCAGACACTTGGCCACCATAATCCCATGGACTTTTTAATCCCTTCAAATCTGACAGAATTTTCGAACGAGCGGAACGAGCCTTGCTTCGTGAAGGGATTCACCAAACCAAGAAAGACCTAGCAGCTATGGACAAGGATCTTCTATCGATTAACCAAAGATTATCCAACAGCATGCACTAGAGTGACTAGGACAAAACTAACTGAATGACGTATGACGTGATGGGAGCCACACTAGCGAAAACAACAAAGAAACTGGTAAACAAGTTTGAGTCCTTGAAACCAGTGAACACTACGAAACTCACAGGCAATGATCGCACAGTTGTCAACCTGACCCAACGCGTTCTGACTGATTCGGAAACCAGTGCTATAAGAAAAGCAGGCAATTTTGCAATAACACCGAAAGACCTGCCATTCCAAGACATCATAGCAAATGTGGAAGCCAGCATACGCACATTACCTCAATCCACTGCAGAGGAAATACGCAATGATACCTTTAGGATTCTACGACTTGCGAAACCTCCAAAGTGCAACCTGACATACGAGGAAAGGAAAGCTATTCGCAGCCAAAATACAGACAAGAACATACTAGTCCTGCCTGCGGATAAAGGAAACGCAACGGTAATCATGAACGTAACTATGAATCAAAAATTTCTGAACTGCTTGACCCCTCCACCTATAGAAAGCTGAAGCGCAATCCCACTGCTTCTGAGGCCTTACCACCTAGAATATATGGGCTTCCTAAGACTCACAAAACAGGCAACCCACTCAGGCCCATAGTAAGTGCAATTGATTCGCCCACATACAGCATAGCCAAATACCTCACCACCCTCCTTCAAGTCCTTCAGTCACGGGTTGGCCAATCCAGCTCTTCTGTTAAAGACTCAACTCGTTTCATCGAAAAGATCAGTGACATCACTCTATTACCAAACAACATTCTGGTTAGTTTTGATGTCATCTCATTGTTTACTAAGGTACAAGTGAATCAGGCCTTAGAGTATCTGAAAGATGTTTTTCCGGAGGAAATCAACAACTTTTTCACCACTGTCTGACGACTACGTACTTTCAATGGCAAAATGAATTCTTTGAGCAAACAGATGGGGAGTCCACTCAGCCCGGTTATCGCCAACTTCTACATGAAACACTTCGAACAAATTGCACTGCGAACGGCCACAAAGAAACCTACTTGTTGGTTTCGCTATGTAGATGACACATTTGTTGTTTGGAACCATGGAGAGGCAGAGCTCGAAAACTTCCTTAATAATCCAAACTCAATAGAACCCAGGATACAGTTTACGATGGAAGTTGAGAAGGACAACAAAATTACATTCCTCGACGTCTTCTTAGAAAGATTACCCTCAGGTAGACTGAGATACAGAGTATATAGGAAGCCGACGCATACGCACAGATACCTCAACAAGGAATCCAATCACCATCCTAAGCAAAAGAGAGGAGTCATCAAAGCTCTATCTGACAGGGCAATCCGGATTTGTGAACCCAGATACCTTCAGGACGAGATACAACACCTAAAATCAGCACTTGAAGGAAATGGTTACTCCAAGCAGGAGATAAATAGAGCCATAAGACCGAAGCAACAGCGCACAAATAACAAGGAGCCAGCACAGGTGGTAGGGAGAGCCTTTCTTCCCTATATCAAAAATTTCACAGTTCGCATAGGACGAACGCTAGAAAGATACAACGTTAAGCCAAGCTCCGAAAAATAAAGACCCTTTCTTTCCGAGAACAGCGTAATACAAGCCACGCCCACAACCCTGGATATAAATAACGCAGGTCCAACAACGTCGAATCCAGTCATCGGAGGAACACGAAAGAGAACACTTCGTCCTCTACCACACCGGCTTTAAAGATGTCTACCGCAGCAGTAGACGAAACTTAAGGTATAAATACTAATGGACCACGGCATTATATAGCCCGGGAAAAAATTGCCTATTAGTTAACCATATTTATACCAAATAGTGTTTCACTCTTCAACTTCCACATATAAATTAAATTCTAAAACCAACACACTTCCTTCATTCAAATTCAAACTAGTCCCTTCTTCATTAAAACACAAACCCGGACATTAATTGCGTGTTAATTAAACCGAGCAAAAACTTACCGGAATGCAAACGGCTTAATCAGCGAAATATTGTTGCCGTCCAACGAGAGTTTCTTCAAATGGCGCAGTCCTGCAAAAGAGTCGCTTTTGATGGTCGGAAAATTGTTTCTGGTTAAAGACAAATGTTCGACCGTCGGCGGTAGCAGTTTCAATGGCACCTCGGTTAAACCACCAGAATTACACAGAACCTAAAACAATTGACATTAAAAGTATTTTTAAAAAAGGTTAATAATGTTTAAATAAGACAACAATCGATCAACCTTAAGCAACAATCAGTCACGGTGACTGACAAATGTGTTGCTGCAGGGCGCTGTCCTGGGTAGATAAATGATTTGTTGGCGAGAGGAGGAACATTCTAATTTTCCCGTCTATTTATTTTGTCTAGGTTTTATTGAATTTTCAAGCTGACAAACTGCAATGGGTTGGAATAAAGTCCACAGAAAAAAAGGCCAATAATATCCATACAAGTTATGTAGGAAAACTAGGAAGACATACGGGAAACTGAGAATTCAAATTACTTGTACGATGTGCTGAATCCTTATTGCAGTATAATTGAGTTATCACAAAGCAAAAAAAAAAATGTTTCCCCAATCCGCCTCTAGCTTAAATTGGCTCCGTTGTCTTTGCTTCCAACTGACAATCGATTCTTTTCTCGTAAAATATATAAGTTTACCTGGGTTTGAGAGAGACAAAGACACTCGAGTGGACAAGTAGGGAGCAGCGTCGTGGGCGTCGCGACGCTAATCAGTAAAAACCAGCAACTTGTTGCCAGGACGCCACCCATGTGCATCTGAAACAAACCAAAAAAAAATATATTAAGCTCGCGCTATTAATTTCTTCGGAAGTTTTTCAAGTTCTGACACGGAAAAAAAAAACTTCTAAAAGCTTTTCGACAATGAGTTTTCAATAGAAAAAGTTTGTTGCGGCACTCTTGACGGAAAAAACATCGACGTCTTTTGAATAATAAATGGCTAACGCTTAAGTTTAAAGATCCTTTTGCGAGGAGACGACCCCTTTCCGAGGCTATTTTTCACGCGATTGTGATTAATTATGCATTTATTTTTTTTCAGGGAGTATACATTTTTAACAAGTTAGAACCAAATGAATGAATATTTTCAAAAGCAGTTACTTTGTTATGATTAATTACAACACCTTGCCAACGGCTTAAATTACATTTTCAACTTTTGGATTGTTTTTTCATCACCGAGCCAACAAAACCGTGTACTTTTCGAAGTTGGAAAACTAATTGTGAAGTATCGGAAAAATAAGAAACTTTTCGTCCCGAAGCCAATTTACTGGTTACCCAACTAGAAGAGGCCCTTGGTTTTCTACAACTCTTAATTCACTTAACAATAATCTCAGCGGCCCTCGAAGAATAAATAAGACTCTTAGTTAACAAGATAATTAAAACAAGATGAAACTATCTTGCAGGAGATATTCGACAAATTAACTATACACGTTTCTCGTTCTAACTTGCTGTCCTAATTTACAGGTACTTTATCTCACGTATCCTTACATTTATAAAGTGGCAAGTCGGCTCTTACTGGGTTTCTCTTGCTGACTTATATATGAGTTCGCGTTTTTTGTGCGTCTGGTTTACGGTTTATTTCTTAAGGAATAAATAAGCTTGAAGATTGCTTTATGAAGAAATATTTTTGTTAGAGATTAAATCAATACATAATGACGAGATCTTTCCAGGTCAGCCTGGAGTCAATGATAACTCCTAGATATTTGACCATACCGGTAACATTTTAAATGCTTTTTGGCATTATCTAGGTTATATGAAAGCTTCAAGAATGTGAAATTAGAATCCTATATAAAAAGCATCACACAAGCAATTTAAAGAAACACTTTCTTTAGAGGACTATATACCATATATTCTCTCAGTTACGTGTGCAATGAAAGAACTATACTCCAGTCAACCATCAAAATTATTTGGATAGGAGTTATGTTAAGTCAAAATAAAATTCAAATAGCTTTCCCAGTTTAATGACTCTAGGAGATGAAAAGGCAGTTTCTCCCGAAGCTATTGCTGAGATTTTCAGAGAAAAGTTATGCTCTCTTTACAAAAATATGGTGATTCAGGTGTACAAAACATTTGTTGTGGTTTAACTGTCAATTTAAGCTGTATAAATATAAGTATCATGGATGTTCATAATAAGATTATTCAGCTAAAAGATAGTCTAAGCCCTGGTCTTGGCATTCCTGTCTTTGTTAAGAAATGCATTGTTACGGGATTATTTTCCCCCCCAAAGTACCCCCATCTAGAAATGTATTACTAAGTTGTCATTTCACCTATACAGTTTTCATTTCGCTATTTTTCAATACCATCTAACAATAATTGTGGTTATTTATTTAAACATTTCATATTGTACCGATGGTTCTATTACAGATTTCCGTACAACCTTCCTTTGTACCATTACAGTTTCCTCTATTTGGTGGGTACCAGGCATTCAGTTAGTAGCAGTATCAGTGTCCACCAATAGATTCTGTAGAAATTCCTCAAGGTTTTTTTCTGGAAGAGAAAGGATTAAAAATCGGTTTTTAGTGGGTTGCTGAGATTATAGCACCACAGTGCCACTATAGGCAGATTTGATTGTGCGAGTGTTAAAGGGATAAAGTCTCAAAATTTAGACGTTTTTCTTCGTGTAATGTGTCTGGAAAAGGCCAAAGTATTTTGGTAAGTTTTAATTTTCTGTTATTTTTCATTTGGATAAGTTCCACAAGTTCTTTTAAAATACTTCTTTACTATATTTGCTGTTTGTTTACCATGTGCGAAAATCTTGTTCTTTTTTTTTTCTCTCTCCACTTTCATTCTTCCCCGTATTGGAGGCCTTGTTTCTCCTCCGATACCCAAGTGCCGGTTGCCCATCAACCCCCAGTACTCCAGAGGTATCTTCTGAACCACTTCAGTCGGTCTTACTGCCCCCCCTCTAGTTGCTAGAACATCCCTAATTACCAAGAAGAATTGGGGAGCACCCTCGATCCTTACTTCACGTCAGGTAGATTCCTGGGTCGCTGTAAGACTTGCAAACAGCAAACAATCAAGGAACGCCCTAAAAGTTAAAATCTCTTAAAAGTATAACCGTTCCCAAATTGGAGTTGTGTGCTTGTTTAATCTTGGCAAAGTTAGTGAATACGGTTAAACAGTTTATGAATTTAACCTTTGATTCGTGTGTGTTGAGTTGGATTCAAACTCCCTCACACATGTTACAATTTTTTGTAGGTAATAGGGTTTCCCAAACACAATCCTTAACTTTACCTGCAGAGTGGAATCATATATCATCCAAAGATAACCCTGCAGACGTATTATCGCGAGGTTTAAATCCCGAAAAATTGCAGGAGTGTGACCTTTGGTGGAGAGGTCCAACTTGGCTTTCGAAACCCCAATCGGATTGGCCCGAACCTAAATTTCAAATTCCCGAAACCATTCTTGAGCTTAGAAAACAAAAAATGGTGTTTAAAATTACGCAGAATGATCTGTTTCCGTTCACAAAATTTTCTAGGTTATACAAAATTCAACGTGTGTGTGCATACTGTGTCAAATTTATCAAAGCATGTCAAAACAAAGGAAAACCTAATAATGAACTTAATGGAGTCTTTTCTGTGAGTGAGTTAAATGAAGCCCTTTTGGCACAAGAAACCTTTGCTAATGAGATAACAGAGAAGTTTGTGAACAAGTCGAGCAAGTTGAAGCGACTGAATCCATTTTTGGATGAGAACGGTGTGCTGAGAGTCGGAGGTAGGATTAAAAATTCCCAATTTAAATTTGAGAAAAAGCATCCGATTGTGTTTAGTGCAAAACATCATTTAACTCTCCTATTGTTGAGAGCTGAGCATTTTCGATTATACCATGCTGGACCTCAGCACTTGTTTTTTTCTATTCGTGAGAAATATTGGCCAATAGGTGTTTGGACGTTAGCGAGAAAAATGGTGCATGAATGTGTTCGCTGTTTCAGAGCCAAGCCTAGATAGCAAAATGTAGTTATGGGTATGTTGCCCCAAGACCGATTGAAACCTGCTCTTCCTTTTTCTGCATGTGGCGTAAACTACGCTGGTCCATTAAAGATAAAAAGGGGAGAGGTTGTAAGAAAATTAAAGCATATATATCACTCTTTATATGTTTCGCACCCAAAGCGGTGCATTTAGAATTAGTGACAGAGTTGACAAAGGGTTAAGTCTCGCCCCAAAAATAATTAGGGCCGAGGCCCGAGACCGGACGACTACTCAGCGTGAGGTCGCAGATCAAAAGGGCAGATTCTTCATTTAGTATTAGGCAGTGATTAGGCAATCTACTGTCCTGTCAAAAACGAAATTCAATATGGAAGTTCGGGTCAAGCATTGGGTCACATTCTGGACAAACGTCAAGATTTGAATTATCCGATTTTGTGTTTTTTTTGTGTGTTTAGGTATTGTGTTAAATAAAATGCCAGCGATTTGCATCGTAATTGGGTGTGGAAGTTGAGGTAACAGGGCTAATGTGAAATTTTATTCAGTTCCTGCTATTTTAAATCATCGGCTTTTGATCTACAAAAGTGAATTATCAAAACAATGCAGGGCTTTATGGATTGCTGCAATTAAAAGAACGGATCTAACAGAGGCTCGATTTTCCCTTAATAATAATACTTTAAGATATTCCCTCTCCATCTCAGAATTTATTATTAAATTAAAAAATACGTAGAAACATTATAAACACTATAAAATTCACTTTGTAAACATAGGCCAGAACACTAAAAAATACGTAGACATACTAAAAACTATAAAATTCACTATGAAAACAACAATATGACCAAAACCAATGGAAAATACGTAGAAATACATAAAATTCACTTCGAAAGCAACAAGGGCCAGAACACAAATGCTCTCCTTATGAACGCCACCGGCTTGTCACCGCAATATTTGACCCGAACGGCCATTATAAAATCACGTGATTGAGATTGCCTAAGTTCGTTGTGTAAAAATGACTGGTGAATGTTGAAAAATGCCTATAGAACATATATCAAAATGTCATTGAACAGCTGTTTTGTCTAGGCGTTTTCGTTAGACCTGTTCTACTTATAGAACATATATCAAAAAGTAGAACAGGTCTAACGAAAACGCCTAGACAAAACAGCTGTTCAATGACATGATGGAAATGAAAAATCAAAGAGTAAACAACAATTATTATCATAACCTCAGATTATTGATTGGATTTGCAAACAGAGATGATGATGGTACTACCTCCTTTTCCTAAGATTTTAATCAATAACAGCGGGCCCTGCCGTACTGAATCAAACCTTCCTAGATCAATCAACCGAACTTGCAAACCTGCACCAAAAAACTTTCAGTAGAAGGCAGTACTCAAGGTAACAAAATCTCGGCACAGAAAAGATAGTCGTTTATTCATTTATTTCATTGTAGTTCTATATGGAATCATATCTACTAAAGCAAAACAAGGTAGCTTATTAGCCAAGAAATTGAAAACGTTACACCAAATATAGACAAACCTTATAGTTTTAGAATCGGGAAATTGTGCTCTTCAAGAATATATAGAACCAAATATAGGGCATCCCTTTCGAAAAAAGCTGAAAGCATGCAACATTTCACATTTCTAACATTCAATTTTTGTTTCTGACCATGGATTCTAAAAATTTAGCCAATACTGTACAACTTTCATCTACTTGTAAAGGTGAAGAATGTAGGTGGGGTGTCAATACATAAAAAAACACCCTATACATGTGTATTACAAAACCAAATGGAACATTTAACACCACAGCAACGATGCAAAACTATTAAAATTTCTTGAGTATCAAAACCAAACCTCTGCTTGTCACAGTTAACAAACAATTCATAATCTTGTGAGGAAATTTGTCTCTGGGCTCAAATTGAAGCGAGTATATTGTTTCAATTAATTAACAAAAACCTGTCATACTCTCAATAATGCTGTACAAATATAACGAAATTATATCTGTCTCGATTTTGGCAGCAGGTTTATCTTGCTTTCTCATGATGGGATTTTTAATTGAACCGCCGTTATTATTAATTGGATCTGATCCGGAACGTGATTATCTCATTTATTGCTGTCCGAATCGATTTGTTTTGATGCAATAGTTTTTAATTTGATAGCAAACTTTCTATTGATAGTTTTCAAGCAAAATCAGTATAGACTCGATTAAATCCAACCTAGAAACAAAATTGCTTCGTTATACATGCTGGATGTAAATTTGTGTCGTCAACAACAATGTTATAGGCAAAGTTGAATTACAAACTAATTGGCCTGCAGTTTCTCTGGTTCCTGAAGTTTTAATGTTGTAATTTGAAACTTATAATTGAGATCGACACTCTGGTTGAAATGCACAAGAATTTATAGAAAAGGGTCATCAAAGCCTGAAATTTTATACATGGTCGCCAGTTGTTTACACGTCTGTGTTTATGTTAAATTTAATTAAACCAGAGTGTGTTTAAATTGCTGATTGCCAACAGGTTGATAAAGTTCAACTTGTAACAAACCCTATATACGCAACTGTTGCATGTTAGTTCAATAATTAAAAACCTCTTGCGTCATTTTAATTTAAAAAAATTAGAGTACCAAAATAAATTATTCCTTTAAATGGCTCGAGGAGGGCGTTAAAAAGGACCCGATTAAAGCGCTTTTTATTTTCAAATCGGTCCGAATTAATCACTGCTTTCGCTGCAGAGAGGATAAAGAAACGACCGTGTCCGTTTTAAAAAAAGGAGTCTTTCTACTGCGGAAATTAGATAAATTAAGAGTCGTTTTTATTTGTTTATTGTGACAGTAACTTTTGGTTTTAGAGTTAAATTGTACTTTAGAAGTTTAAAGTTGCTACATTCAAGGATTGATTAACTGAGTGATTATTCCCGGCTGTTGATTCAAATGAAGCCATATGAATCTGGGCGGAGTTCCCGAAGGGGAAGTAGGAGAGACCTTTCATCCCTTGCATACAAAGGGGATCAGCCGCCATATACTGAACCCAAAGACTTGCATCTATGTTGACAGATGGATCGGGTCCACTCTAATTGCTAACTTCTGCTCTAGAGACCTAGTAGCGGTAAAGCTATGCCTCAAGGACAGACTAGGACAGAGTAGATCGGCCTATCTGCCCCATGAAAATTGATGGCGTTAAGACTCCGACTTACATATGCAATTATCCGATCACTGGGCATGCCAAAACTGGGGTAAGCAAGTCTTTAACTATTGAAAAGCGGTTTGGTGCTCCTCAGTCCACATCCATCGTGTTCTCTTTTTTAGAAGGCGGTTTAGTGGCGCAGCTATCTTTGAAAAATTCTGAACGAACCGGCGGTACCACGAAGCAACACCCAAAAAGCGTCTTAGGCTTCGTAAATTGATTGTCGGTGAAAGCTGAAGGATAGCTGGAACCTTTTCAAGATCGGAAATGCTTGGTTCTAGATATCGGAGAGATATTCAGCCAAACTGACATTTCTCAGGGTTCAATCTTAGATTTGCCCCTCAGAGACGGTTGAACATTTCTTGTAAATTGCTCAGATGCTCTTCAAAAGTTTCTGCCAATACGATGATATCATCAAAACAGGCGAAGCAATACGGATTTATCTCCGGGCCCGCAAGCGTTGAAAGGTAGCTGGCGCAGAATGAAGGCCAAATGGCATAACTCGGAATTGGAACAGCCTTATACCAGGCAGGAAAGTAAGGCCCATCAACTGAGATGGCTCTTCACAGTCCCAGAGGCTCCGTTGTTGACAGCTGATTTCGGGCTCAGCGAACATTAGTCCCTCGACACTTTGTGCAAAAAGTCCTCTATGGAAATTGCAAAATCCCTTAATCCATTTACATTTATTTTTTTTTACTCTAACTTTATCCCATTCCACAATGTAATTAAAAAGTTCCATTATAACGATGCGCCGAACCATCTTGTTATAATATTTTTCGACAACTTTACAAACGAAACATAAAATTCTATTAGACTCGTTATATTAGTTCCGCGAAACTTCAATACGCAAAAGCATTTTTATGTTTCATATTTATTTGAAGAGATAATGGGCAAAGGCACTTTATATTTATTGTGCATTTTTACGTTTCCAAAAATCTATTCAAACATCTAGACGTCGTACAATGTTTACACGCCTCTTACGGTTCCCTATCTAGCTACAGCGCGCTAATTGCATTTCCATAATTCAGTTAATATGCAAATTGCGAAACGCTTTTACCTTGTAAATATTGAATGAATGAGTCTAGGCTAATATTAGAAAAAAAAGGTGTATCGTACACTATTGGGTGCATCAATTTATAACTGAAACCCAACATACGCATCAGTCAAGTTGTGGCTAAGCGGTCAGTTGATCTATGACTCAGTCAGAAACCGCACCTGGGCTACTACTAAGGCATATTATTCCAAAAACTTCACACAAGAGTATATCTTTCCTGCTCGAAACGTAATTTAGTTGCCTGAACAATTCTTCTTGGCAATTTTTCAGGCTGCTACGTCCGTACTTTAAAGACACATGCGACAATCCAATTTAGTTTTTTCTATTACTGTCCTATTATCGTCAAATTTGACTTTGAATGTTCCAAAAGTCTTACATACAAATGAAAATCATACTTGTGTAACTTTACAAAACGACATCCGCAAAGTTTAAAATAACTTTGCCAGTGGGGCGTTATCGTTTAAAGTTCACGAACTCGATAATGGCAATTGCCTGTTGGTATAAGGAGCTAATAATTCCTCGACGGAGGAACTCGTTAAGCCGAAGTATAAAATTAAGTTTATCCTGACCGTGTATAGCTTCAAATGATTGTACAATAGGATGATGGTATTTAGTCTTCGTTGAAAGCTTTGTCGTGTAATAGCAACTAAGACTTCCTTTACAGAGAGTATCAAAAGTAATCCTCAATTTTTTCAAATTGTCTTGGCTGAAATTGTAGGAATTATGACGTAGCTTTTGTAATAGAATTTCAAATTACATATTTTTCTATATGATAAGCTTTTGACCTGGTAAAAATCAGAATTGTGAGAACTGATTATAGAGTATTTGGCTTCTGGCTAGAATTTCCATTGATACAAAAATCGCCTTTGAACTACATATTCCAATAATAATTGGAAACAACATACTGCATAAGCCTAGACTCGTTAGTTTTGCACATTACTAGGGTAATTAAGCGGCTTTTACAGGCCGATTTAGGAAGGAATTATTCGAATATTATATTACAATGTATAATTATGGACAAATATTTTTATTGTTATCAGCGATATGTATCTGGAAAGTGTAATTTTCTTAGGGGTTGTATTATGGGAAATAAAACAGGGAGTGTTATGAATTATTCTAGATTATTCTCGACTCTTGATTTATTTATTTTTTTCATTGATTTGATTAACTGATCTTTTTCAATGTTCAAGTTTTAATTGTTCCCGGCTCTTGATTATAAATTCAGGCTCAAATAACTAAAGATCCTTGAATATTGACTAACTTTTAAATTCAATTTGCGTCATCGAAAATCCTTCAAACCCTATTGATATTTCCACTCCATTTTACTATTTAACGTTGCAAAATAAGGAATTTTGAAAAAAAAAAACCCAACGTTTTGTCCATCAAAAATAGCGAAATCAATGGAATTTTAATTGGTGCTTGCGTAGGTGAAACAGAATTACAAAGTGGTGCCGGTTTTAAATTAAAATCATCGATTTTGTGTCGCTCTTACTTACCTCGTTGCGGGCATCGGTTCAGTTTTTGGCTCAAAGTCGTTTTGCCAAGGCGAGTCTCTGAAGAAAATCTGAAACAAATTATAATTTACATGAATAAATTCAATTTTTATTTACAGTGTGTTCAGTTTTAATGGCATGCAGACGTTTTAATTAAAATTGATGGAAAATTTTCTTGTCTCGACTAGGATTTGAACCCAGGACTCTCGTATATCTAGTGCAACGCTCTACCAATTGAGCTACCGAGGCCTGTTTCATTTCTACCTGCCTATGAAGACCGACGGCAACCTTGGGCGGTTACCGTTGATATGGGAGTGAGTGAGAAGGTACAAGGGGAACACATTTACAATTGATGGTGGTTTTCTAAATCTGTGGTGTGAAATAACTCCAGCAGACTGAGCTCTCTCTGGTTCGTGTTGATGCTGCCCCACACTATGTGGTGTGCGTTGGCATCGCATCCCACAATCAACGGAAGACCCAGTGAGTTACAGTACTCCACCAGAGCAGATAGGCCGAGCAAACTACGATCTGCTTTGTCCCAGTCTTCCCTGAGGCATAGCTTTACTGCTTCTAGATCTTTAGAGCAGAAGTTACCAATTAGAGTGAACTCGATAGACGGAAGTCGACATAGATGCAAGTGTTCATTAGGTTCATTTGTTGTAGTTAGTTCAATAACAAAAACTTAATATCTATAAGAACAATTTATATGCTTGAGCTGCCGCACTGTAAACCAGATCCAAACCCCATTGATTTTCTGCAAATTTCAAGCTGAAATCGTAAATAAAAAGCTATTGTTGTTGTTAAACCAACTCTAAACATTTTAAAACAAAACCCCCTTTTCCTGTTTCTAGGACAAATACATGCACTGATAAAAACCGGAAAACACATCAGCACTTTTAATTATTTTTGCAGAAAAAAAAAACACAAAATGTGGAAGTTTTCTAATTAGAGATTACTGACCCTAGCTAGGAATTTATAATTTAGTTTTTATATTAATTTTTAGTTTGAAATGGCTAGCAGTGTTAATTGAGTTTAGCTGAAAAGAGCCAAGTTTAACCTTTGAAGTGACGACTGACGTTTAAAATTATGGCAAAGCGCTTTTGAGCCTCAATATTTTATAAATTGATGTCAACTTTTAAGAATTTTCTAACCCAACTCAACTAATTATTAATGTATAAATAAACTACAATCATATCCACCAAAATTATGGAAATTTGTATGTATTATTTTTAGATATTTCAAAACTAAATTACTGTTGCAGTGAGAAATCACTCTATTATAAAACCCCCTGTCAAAACAACTAAAAACGTTAATTAAAAAACAACTAAAATTCCTAATTAAACATTTTCCCCCCCAGTCTGTTTCGGTCAGGATAACTAATGGGCTTTTAGCCTGCCATGCACAATTCAATAGTAAAACGCTACAAAATGTCCATTTTGCTAAATCGATAAATATTTATTTCGGATTTGTAAAAAACATTGTTCAATAATAATAGATTTTCGAGAATGCCCGTAATTACTGGAGAAAAGTCCCAAAGCCGCAATCCACGGCTCTAAATCCCCGACTAAATCGCTTACTGGGGTATATTAGAGCGAATTGATGTCCACTCTAAAGTTTAAACTACTGACTTTGCAATATCGAATGTTCATTACGGAATTAATTATACCTTTCAGAGGGGACTAATTATAAAGGAATTTTCTCTGAAATTAAATATGTACCCTGTCAGAAAGGATTATTTTACATATTGAGATTAATTAAAATTTCCCAAAAGAAAGTGACCGATTTCCAACGTGCTGTAGGCAGTCTTGTAATCATTCTGGAAACAGTTTAAAACAATTTACCGTCCTACTTGTCTAAAGGGGCATATTTCGTTTCAAATTTCCCGTCGTGTAAAACGTTCAATTTTGATGAACGGGGGCTCGATATATAAACTGGAAAATAGATTAGTTTGACTGTAAATATCAGTCCAGGACAAACTAGTTAGCTGCATTGTATTTCACGCACACATTATATTGGGTTAATGTATGTTATTGATAGATATTTATTTCAATTTCAAGTAGCTATAAGGGGGTTAATTGAATATCGATCTCTATATAGTCGTAAAACTGAGCGCGTATTTTTCTCGAGAACCTCTTTAACAATTCCGGCAATTTATTTCGCTTTTGAAATAAATATTCGCGACACAAAGACATTTCTATGTTCCGGTTTGCTTTTGCATTTTTATGTAAGGAAAACCAAACAAAGTCCTTGGAATAACGAGAGAAAAAAAAAACAGAAGTTTGCCTTAAGCTTTGTTTAGGTTTCATATTTGCTTGGTTTCATCGTGAAATACCACTCAAAAAAAAAACAAACAAATATTCACGAGAAAGAGGAAAACAAGACAAGAGAGTCTCTCTTAATTAATTTAAATAAAGAAAATTTTATCGACTTGCAGTATTTTGGATTTTGATATAGATACCTGCAAGGGCGCCCACAGGGAGGGTCAGGGGGGGGGGGGGGGTCACTCGACCCCCCCTGGAAATTTCTTAAATTTTAATTATTTTCTATATATATTATATTGTAGGTCCGATGATGCTCGTATGAGCGAAACGGGCATACTTGAATTCGGCCACAAACCAGGTAGCTGCAGTAATCCTACCTTTGAATTCGACCAAATCATGAAATCAAACCTACTTCCCATAAAACTTACCTTATGATGTTGACAGATTTCGCATTGCATATGAGTTAATAAATCTAAAAAAGTGTAAATATGTATTTTGATGCGCAAAATAAAAAAATCTACCAAAATGACTATGGAAAGATTCACAGGAATTTGTTTTCTTATCCAGGTCTATCGAGGCATGTGCCATGTGTCGATGAGATAATCTGAAAATTTAACTAGAACTTCGTGATTCGGCTGAATAGCTAACAACTCGAAAACAAATAAATCGCTAACTTCTTGATTCTCCAAAAACATCATACCGAAACAATTATGTAACGATTTACCGATTTCTGATTTTTTTTTTTATATTCAATGCTTAAGCCTAAGTTTTGGATCTTCCTCTACCATGCCTGAGATTTTAGCTATTTATAAGAAGTAAATATGTTGATTTAATATCTATATCTCAGTGTACCGATTTGCATATTGATAAATTGTCACCCTTTCCTTATTCCGGAACTGGTGAATTTTGTGGCTGAGTTCAAGGACCCCAGAGCTAAACACATGTCACTATTAAGTGAATCAAATAATAAACAATCTGTGTTAACATGTGGCTTTTCAAATTATGTTTTTGCTTAAATTTTGCATTGCAAGTGTCACATTCAAATGGATAAATATCCGAATGTGTTAGTTTGTGTATCTTCAAATCGCGTTACCGTTTAATTTTGATTTGCAAATGTCCCATTCAAAAAAATTAAATATCCAAGTGTATCAATATGTGTTCCTTCAAATCGCCTTCTCTTTTCAATTTTGCATTGCAAATGTTACATTTGAAATTCTCCTCATCCGAGTGTGTTAATATGTGGCTTCTCAAACTACGTTTGTGTTCAAATTTTGCATTGCATGTGTCACATTTAAAAGGATAAATATCAGACTGTGTTAGTTTGTGTCTCTTTAAACAGTCTTTTCCTTTGAATTTTGCTTTGCAAATGTCACATTCGAAAAGATAACTATCGAAGTATGTTGATATGTGACTTTTCAAAAAGTTTAAATTTTCCTAATTTAAATTTTTCTTTAAATTTTGCATTGCATATGTTGCATTTAAAATTCTTCTCGTCCAAGTGTGTTAGTTTGTGTCTCTTCAAACTGCCTTTTTTTTAAATTTTGCTTTGCAAATGTTGCATTTAAAATTCTGATTCTGCTTCTAAAATGATAATTTAGACTGAAGTGCCCTTTTTTACGCATAAAAAATTTATTCAATTGATTTTGACCCCCCCCCCCTACATATTTTTTTGCGGGCGCCCCTGGATACCTGAGATTCACCCTGCTTTTTCCTAAAAAACCCCAAAATTGTACCAAGACCAGATAATAAAAATTGAATTTTTATTTTAGAAGTTTTTCGTCTGGTATATAATTTACAGTGTGTCCATCATTACTCATTGAATTAATGAATAAAGTCTAGTTGGTGAACTAAGGATTTGACTTGTTTTCTTTCTTGATTACGCCGTATACGACCTCGAACTTTCTTCTCAAAATTGTGGAAACTCCACAACATAATTTAGTGTCAGGTGTGGGGTTTAATCGATGGTTACTCAAGAAGAAGTGCAGTTCAGTTTGGTTCAAGCTATTCGGCAACAGTAACAAGAAAATAATTGTTGTTTTTTAGTCATCAGCCAAGAGAACGATCCAGTCATGAGTCAAGAAAACGGTCCATTCTTTAGCTAAGAAAACAAAAAGGAATTATTTGTACTGCGCGGATAATTGAAAATACTCCAGATACCGGACTCTTGAATTTTGGTTCCTGAATTCCGTACACCTTGGGATCCTACGTAAGGGGTCAACCTCTCAAAATCATTGATAGTCTTAAATTGACTACTGATAATCTAGATATTGCTAGTTCCAACAACTCCACCACCAATTAAATAATTTATTGCAAATCGCCAATTTACGCCTACAAAAATGGAATTTGTAGCAACTCCCTAATCAAATATCAGTAGAAAACACACGAGATGTTCATCAAATAAATTCTGCAATAAATACAAGTAAAATTTTAGGCATTTCATAGCAGACAAATTTTGAGTCACTTTACCCAAAGAAATTGACAAATCTTTCACCAAGCGACAAGTTCTTTCTCAAATCGCTCAGATGTTTGAACCCTTGGGGTTCATAGGTCCCATAATCATAATCGCAAAATGCTTTATGTAATCCATTATAGGCTAGGATACTGAATGAAAACTGGAAGTAGACCTTTTAATATGTTCTTGGATACGGGTTCTCAGTGTTCTACAGGTTGGCAGCTGTTGCAATTCAATCTATAAATTCCACTTTTTGAGAGGTGTTCTATCCTGTCCTTGGAGTTAACTAGGTGAGTACCCAAGCTGTTGTTGGTTCTGTAGGGAATTTTAAGATTCTCGACATTTTGGCGAAGTGCTG